AACTGGTTTGACAACGTGACGAGTGGACTAGCTGACCGTCCCTAGAAAGGAATTTGTTTAAATGCCTGCCTAGACGGGTGTCTCATGCCGCCAGGTTTGGGGCTTTTTCGTTGCCGTCGTAGGCAACTAAATCGTACCGTTACGCACTGTTTGTACTGATCTGCTTACAGGCAGCTTTTTTTCTGTAGTCTTTAAATCTTCGAAACTCCTCCTGTTTTGTTCCGAGGAGTCTAAAGCGCCTTCCTCTCCTTCTACTTTTAGAAACCTCGCAAATTTAACCTACTTAGCCATTGCAGAAAATGATCTCCACAGCCTTCCTCCAACCATTGGTTAGTGCTATCTCCTTTTTTTGCCTTGCCACTTTATCCTTACACCTGCCTGAACTGGCCTCCTCTTTCTTTCTCCCCCCCCCGAATTCTAAATAGTTTTCGTGTTTTTTTAAAATTTCTTGCAGGACGTCTGGAAAAGCTTGAAAAACTGTACTTGAACGACAATTTCAACCTGCATGACCTGCCCCCGGAGTTGGCCCTGTGCTGCGGTTTGCAAATCATGTCCATTGAAAACTGTCCACTCTCGAAAATTCCGATGGAGGTTGTCTCCCAGGGTCCCTCTTTAGTTATCCAGGTGCGTCGCAGTAGACATTTAAACCCAAGTCATGCTGTGCCAGTATAATCGAAAATGTGAGTCCCAGGAAGTAATTGAGGAGAAGAAAAAGAAATGACGTCAATCCTTGAGTCGCGGCTCATTCGACGAGACGCGGCCACACATTCAAATTCGATGAGGCCGAATTTATCGCGCAAGATGACCATCATGTGAATCGCGAGTTACTTAAATCCGTGGTTTACAGGCCTCCAGTCTATAAACAAATTCAATGACCTCCGCAACTCATATTCGGTTCTGAGGTTCAGTTTGGTTGAAGTAATTTACGCACAGGGGAACGCGTCTTTTAAAACCAACGCTAGGGAGCCAGGGGGCAGAGCGATCATCACGCCCAGTCCCAGCACGGATGATGAAAGTTCAGGAGGTCAGAGCCCGCACGCCGGCCAGCAAGCCATTAGCGTACAAGCGGGCAACTATCTTCAATAGGGGATGGGGGAGCCGTTAATT